ATTTATTGTTACACATTTCTCTTTGGCGAGCAACTGTCCTAGCGAGCAAGTGTCCTGGCGAGCAAGTGTCCTAGCGAGCAAATGTCCTAGCGAGCAAGTGTCCTGGCGAGCAAGTGTCCGCGAGCAACTGTCCCCGCGAGCAACTGTCCTAGACCCCTCTATAACACTATTCACTTTCTTCAACATGCACAATCTTTAGGGCATAAAAATGAATGGTATTGTAGAAGTTATTCTGAAGGGAGATGTGTGAAACTATCCCGCAAATAACTGCATGGCTCGATCTTATGGGGAGGTCTGATAGCACAACTCATTTAAAACTCAGTAAGATTGACCCATACTTAGTCACATTTCGCGACTGTGATAACTGCATCGATTTTATCACAGACCAGGATTACACTCAAGTCAATATTCGTTTGATTATATCTTCGGAGCTAGCCTTTACTGATGATTGTGTGCTACTAAGCTTATGTGAAGAACTTAATCAAATTGATGCAGTCTTTGTTATGAGCTCGTTTGAATTTGATCACTCGGACCTGACTAAAATACACGGCATTTATTCCGACTTGGAATCGTTGTCTGAAATCTTGAGCAAGAACTATGCCATTCGATCCCGCCATAGAAACGACAAGTCTGAGTTTCGACTATTGTTTTCTGGCTCTGTGACCTCTGATGACGACAACAGCAGAAGCGGGACAGCACCTTCGTATGGTGCGAATGTTGATTATATGTGCTCAACAGTTTTGCGAAGAATTTTGAATCAAATCGACACAACGCAACAAGAAATGGTTGACTTTTGCCTAGAGAAATATGGTCATAATCAATGTGATATTAATTTTATTCAACAATTCGTAACATATTACAAGGCCGAACATGCTATAAGCTGGTATACACGTGACACGTTTCTGTACCGACTATTGAACGGAGCCTTAAGAACCATGGACATTGAAACACTGTATTCAATGCGGTTTTTTATCCGAGATTTAGACGCTCAGTTGGTGAAACGGTTTAAAGCACAGCGATTAGATTCCGCTTCCCTACTCCTATACCGAGGTCAATTCATGACAGGACCTGAACTGGAAAACAAAATCGTTAATAACGTGGGAGGTTTTTATTCAGTGCTAAGTTTCCTCTCTACCACACAAAACCGAGCCGTTGCTTCAATTTATGCCGGTGATGGAACCAATATAGAGGCTGACAGTGTCCTATTTGAAATCGAAGTTCCCAAAAATAATCACAGGATTGTATACGCAGATATTTCAGGAGATAGCGTATTTAATGACGATGAAAACGAAATTTTGTTTACAATGGGGGCCGTCTTTCGTATTATATCAGCGGAAAAAACAGACGAACATGCATGGTTGGTGAAGCTGAAGCTCAGCGATGGTAACGAAGATGTGGAAACAAGACAATTAGAGCTCTGTTTGACAAATAAAATCATTTCATCAAATGGAACGATGAGTCTTGCCAGACTGGCATTTCATATGGGTCGTTATGATATAGCTGTGAAATTTTATGAGTCCTTACTTCAAAATTCACTAGTTAACGCAGAGTTGATACTGATGTCCAGAATTCAAGTAGAGCTTGCCCTCGTTTACTATGACTTTCAACAATATGAAAAGGCTATAGAATGTTATGAAACTTCACTTCAAATAGATTTCAACGATTATCCCGTAAGAGATCTGAGGTTTATCAAGAGATATAGTGATTTGGGATGTGCCTACTTAGCTAACCGTGATTATACGAAAGCTGGTAAGATATTGAGCATAGCAATGGACATCATTGAAGATAATCCCGAACCTGATCAAACTTCGATCGAGACATATGCAAAGATTGTTGCCGACTTCTTTCGTGCCAAGAAACGGGATATTTCTATTCTAAGTTTAAGCGAAAGAGTAAACTTATCTGTCCACCAATTCGAGTCTTTTTTGGAAAAGTATCCAAACAGCTTGAGCTTAGGCAACGATATTGGAACTGTTTATTATGTGAAGGGGAACTATGAAGAAGCCATGGCAATGTACGAACTTTGTCTCGCTAATCTGCTAAGCTTTGATCGCTACGATCCGCGTGTTGCCGAGACATACAGTAATATCGCACTTGTTCACTTTGATGTAGGTCGATTTGATATGGCAGTTGAATATTTTAGCAAAGAGATTGCAATTCTAAAAAGGATTTATCATTCAAATCACTTAGCTATAGCCGGGGCAAACAAGGCGATGGGAATATCTTATTATCTCCAAGGTGATTGGAAACGGGCACTAGCTTGTTGGTTGAAGCTACTCGATATTCATATCTATAACTTTTCAAATATTCATTCAACAGTTGACGAAGATTTCATGTTTATTGATCGAATTTTAGAAGAATGTTTTTCGCTGCAAAAGCCTGAGAAGGAGTCGACGTAAATCTGAATTACTTTTATCCAATAATATTTTCGAAATAATTTCTTACATATTTATTCTCTCAACTATAAGAAGGGACTAGCAGAAAAAAGGTTGTGTGGGTGTGTCTGTTTCTTCGCAGATCAAAAACGTCTGTTGAGATTCCTTCTGTGTGAACGTATTATCCGAGATTTTCGAGATCTTGCGAGTGAAGGGTGAGGGTGAGATTAAGCTGCCATAAGCAGGTTCCATGTCAGCTACGACGATTTCCAAATGGCGTTTGTCAATTGGGTAAGGGTCCAAGTTAGATTGATTTACAATGTTACATTTTTGCAATATAGTTTCAAAGTTTCTGGATGGTAGATTGGACGTTAAGTTGGTACAACCGATTCTGTCCGTTCTCGTTAGTGTATTTGGTACACGTTGAAGTTGCGAGAATCGTGATCGATAGTCAATGACTATCGATCACATTACCAGCTATACCTGTTAACCCCATTTTTCACGAGCTTTCATTTGGTATAAAATTCAATATTGATATCATTTGTCATTGGAGCTATACTCCCCGGGCAAAACATTTCTCGCAACCCTGTATGTGCAAATGGAAGAAAAAAACGAACATTTATTTGATTTATAAAAGTGCAACGTATAACAAACCCTTTTATGATTTTTGAAGTCATCATCAACCCAGTCATAATTCTTCGAGTAAGGGTATAATAAAGGATTTATCGCCTTGAAATGTTGATCAAGAAACTGGTGCATCCCTATCAGGAACGTAAGGATAGCATATAGAATCTTTCTTAACAATCATAACTTCTGACTTTCGATGATTGAATTGTACTATTCTTTCTATATACTAACAATTTGATCAACTGAGACGTATCACTACTGATATACCGTGCACATCCAGCAGAAGGAAAAGCTCATTATCATGCAGCCGATAAAAATGGAAAAATTATAAAAGATGGAGTTCATCATTGTTATGGTCAGACAGCCACAAAATGTATACACAAGAAATATTAACCGTTTTCTGTTTGAGAATACTTTCGACATTTTTTTTCTGTTCATCTATGTTTTTTTAATCTAAGAGGCATTATTCGATAAGAGTGAGTATAAATGACAACTACCACAGTCCAAGGATTTTGTCTTTATTGAAAGGTGAGGAATCATCAGGCGGTATAAAATCTGCATAGATAATTTCAAAAAATTCTCTTAATTGGAAAATTCAAAGAAATTTTAGGGTGAGGTGAGTCTTGGATTGCCAAGATCCAGATTTCATGTTTCAAAGGGTGAGGGTGAGTCACCAATGAAATAGATAAACTCAAAGCATCACACGACGCTTTATCGTCCTTGCTTAAGGGACCCATCAAGCATATTTAGAATATTTTATTACATCACTATTACATAGATCAAAACTCTCCAAATTTGAACTCGAACGAATTCGAAGCAGAAGAAGTTAAAATGTAAGATGCCGGCAACTCAAACTTCAAGAAAGTTGTTTTTCCACTTTTTTTACGTCACTCGGCAGGGTTTGAGCTGCTGATTCCGAAAATCTACTTCTTAGCCTTAGTAAATATCTCCTTCAGGTCGAAAAATGCGAAATACTGCAAAAGTCTCATTTTTTTGAAAAAACGTATCTTTTTGGAAATGCGTAGTTTTCTCCACTTTATACTTTTTTCCAGCTTTTGAAAATAAGTTTTTCAGATTCAGCACGTAAAACTGAGCAGAAAAAAGTTGTTTAATTGATTCCAGACCCAAAACTCTATTGGTGGTGGCACCTTGAATCTCGTCGGGTCCACTGCGTATAGATCGATTTTGTAAACCTATTTAGTCTCTCCACGTAAACAATAAAGCCAAATATTTTATCTCATTCGACTCGTCATATCATCCCCTACAACGTTAAGAATCGTTTTTTTTCTTTTCTTTCCTATCTTGAGAAAAGTCGTTTTTACTGGGCTGGTTGGATAAAGGGGGAGGTCATTTTTCAATCAAATACGTATTTTTTATCCGAATTCAATGAAAATTTGTTCGTATGGTAAAAAACCATGGCAAATCGAATAGACATATTTATAGGTTCTTTGGAGACCCTTCGAAAGGTCTTTAGAAACCCTCTTATGGAAAAAACATAGCTTTTTGGTATTAATCGCTGTTATGTGTTTTTCTTTAAGATAATTTATTCTGTAACTAAAGTGCGTTAGCTTGTTACGCCTAGACCGAAGAGAAGTCAAAGTAAAGTACGAAGCGCATCAGCTCATCGCTGGGCTAGTGTAAACGTTCCCTCTTCGAGTGAGTCGTCAAATGACGAATACAGTATGGATGTTGCTGATTCAGAATTATCTTTCAATGAAAAACTTTTAATGACTGATATTGATGATCTAGCTGAGATGTGCAAATCGAAGTGTGACACAAAATATCTAAGCACATTGCTCTATATGTCACTACGCTACTTCAACATCAAATGGGAAGAGATTGATGAATTTTTAAAAAATATCAGTGTAGTGGGCAACAGTATTTATTAAAGGGGGTTATGAAGAGTTTTCAACTGACCTACGCGGCGGTAAACACACCGATTCATTTTATGATATGTTTCCTGACATTGAACCAGATGAGAAAGCATTTGTTATTCAAGCGTGTTCACAAAAATCAGGCGAATTCAAGGCTCTGGATTTGGCTCAATTTATTGATGATACTTATTATGAATTAACGGGAATTAAAAAGCAAAATGGAGATGATTTGATAAGATCTGAAAGAAGTTGTCGTCTGGATGTTCGTACGTGGGCAGCTAAGTTCGAAGCGAATTCACAACGTCCATATTTCGAAAGACACAAAATAGATGATGTGGTGACACATCGTAAGGAATTTATTAATCATTTTCTAACACATAAAGGTTTTTATTACACAATTACTGATGGAGAAACATCAACGTGGAATATTCTGACCCAAATCTTCCTAAAATATAATTATATGTAAGCACAACAATTGAAACTTTCTAAATATAATTTTTATTATCCTTTTCCGTATTTATTTTTATTAGTTCATGATGGATCAACTTTTAGAAGTGGTGAAGTTAGTCCGAAACGCTGATTTTTTAGAGAAAATAGAAACTCAAGAGCTTCATCAGCGTTTTCTTTTCCATTTAGCTGTATGTTCCCAATATTATTCAAAATACAAACAATACTCATATGACCAGAGAAATAATATTTAATTTGCATTGTCAGTACTTGTTGATGTAAGTCTAGAGCGTCATCGTATTTTCCTTGTCCATATATAATGCCTCCGACGTTGTTCAGTCTCACAGCAATGCCGATCTGACCAAATGGATACTATTTCTTTCGGATTGTCAATACTCGTTGAAGAACGTCAAGAGCTTCGTCATAGTTTTCTTGAGAAATTAAAATACAGCCAATGTTACTTAGACTAATAGCGATATCGACATAAGAATAATTATAATATTTCTATATAGATAATAAGAGATACACAACCTTTTTCATCATGAAAATCGACTATTTTCTGTTTGAGACGTTTCGTCTTTATTCAAAAGACATCCTCAGTCAAATGTGACAGACGAAAGTTGGTTAAAATTCACATTTGACTGA